TCTGTAAGTCTACACTTCCTTCTTCTACTACTTCTCGAACAAAATGATATCTTATTCCTATGTGTTTTGTCCTCGAATGAAAGGCTGGATTCCTTGCAATGTGTAAGGCACTTTGACTATCACAGTACACAACAATTTGTTGTTGCTTGTGACCAAGTTCCCCCATTATTCTTTTAATCCAGATAGCTTCTTTACATGCTTGGGTGACAGCCATGTATTCAGCTTCCGTAGTAGACAGAGCTACCACATCTTGTAACTTGGATAACCAACTTACTGCCCCTCCATTGATGGTAAACACATAACCAGTAGTAGACTTCCTTTTATCCAGATCACCTGCAAAATCCGAATCTACATAACCTCTGACAACTGCTTCTGATCCTCCATAACATAATGCAACATTTGAGGTTCCTTTTATATACCTAAGGACCCTCTTCACATTTTGCCAATGTTCTCCACCAGGATTCCCCATGAATCTACTAACCACTCCCACTGCTTGTGCAATGTCCGGTCTTGTACAAATCATGGCATACATAAGACTTCCCACTGCTGATGCATACGGTACTCGAGACATTTCGATCCTCTCCGCTTCACTGCTAGGACTCATACTTGAGGATAACTTACAGTTGACAGGAAGTGGGGTAGAAATTGGCTTGCAATCTTGCATGTTGAAGCGCCGCAAGATCTTAAGTAAATAATTCTTTTGAGAAAGCCAAATCTTCCTATCTTTTCTGTCTCGGTGAATTTGCATCCCTAAAATCTTGTTTGCTGGTCCCAAGTCCTTCATATCAAACTCCCTAGCCAATTGTGCCTTCAATTCTTGGATTCGAGCTTTGTTAGGGCCTACCACCAACATGTCATCCACATACAACAGCAATATGATGAAATCATTTTCTTCAAACCTATTGTGGTAAGTACAATGGTCTGAACTTAGTCTGTAGTATCCGAGGCTAATAATGAAGGAATCAAATCTCTTATACCAACACCTTGGCGCCTGCTTTAGACCGTATAGAGATTTGTTCAACCTGCAAACCAAGTTTTCTTGCTCTTTGAAGCCTTCTGGTTGGAGCATATATATTTCCTCTTCAAGTTCTCCATGAAGAAAAGCAGTTTTTACATCCAATTGCTCAAGATGTAAATCAAATGCAGCACACATCGCCAGGACAATTCTGATTGTTGTCAATCTAACAACTGGTGAGAATATCTCGTTGAAATCAATGCCTTCTTTCTGAGCATATCCTTTTACCACCAGTCTAGCACGATATCTTTCTACTTGATCATTGGCATCTCTCTTGATCTTATAGACCCATTTGCAACCAATGGCTCTGCGACCTTTTGGAAGTTCCACAAGATGCCATGTCTTGTTTTTATGAAGAGCTTCAATTTCTTCTTCCATAGCAGCCATCCATAGAGGAGCTTCTGAACCACTCACGGCCTCTTGAAAAGTTGAAGGTTCTCCTTCTTCACTTAGGAGACAATACGCATCATGACTTGCCATCACATATTGTGAATGCCAAGATGGTCTGACTCTTTCTCTTGTTGATCGTCGGAGTTCTCCTTCTTCCACCTCATTTGGCTCATGTTCTTCATGCTCCTCCTCTGACTCAGAGGAATGTTCCGAAGTCTTCTTCTCTATCTGTACTATAGTCTTGTCCTTTTCCGAGCTGTCATTTATCTGCTTGCTTTGCAGTTCATTTTCTGCAAAGACGACATCTCTGCTAACAATAACTTTGTGGGCAGTGGGATCCCACAAGCGATACCCCTTCACATTGTCAGGCATATCCCAAGAAGATGCATTTCCCGGATTTTGGATCCAACTTCGTCCTTTCTTGGGTGTTGTACATCACGTACGCGGACAACCAAACACATGTAAGGAAGAATAATCGGTTGATTTTCCACTCCACATTTCCATAGGAGTTTTCAACCCAATTGCTCGTTGATGGAGACCGATTTATCAAGTAACAGGCAGGTATTCACGCTTCCGCCCGGAAAGACTTTGTTATGCATGCAGCTTGCAGCATAGCTCCGGTTCTCTCTAGAAGAGTTCTATTCATCCGCTCTGCTACACCATTCTCGCGAGGCGTGTGTGGAACGTAAAATTGTCTCACAATTCCTTCTTGCTTGCGGAATGCTAGAAAATCTCCATCTACATATTCTCCTCCATTGTCCGTCCTCAAACACTTGATTCTCCTTCCGGCCTCAAGTTCTACTTGTGCTTTGAAGTCTTTGAACCGCGCAAATACTTCGGACTTCTTCTTGATAGGGTATACCCATAATCTCCTCGAGTAGTCATCGATGAACGACACAAAATATTTTGCTCCTCCGAGAGATAATTCCGGTGATTCCTGTACATCGAATGGATCAAGTCCAAAGTTTGCTTACTCCTTGTGGTGGTTCTTGCAAACTTCAACCTGTGTTGTTTGCTTGTCACACAATGCTCACGGAAGGGTAAATCGACCTTCTGAGCCCGGGTATGAGATCACGTTCCGCAAGAATCTGCAGACCTCGCTCCGACATATGTCCAAGTCTACGGTGCCACGTTATCGCCGCTTCTTCTTGGCTTGTCGACGCAGCTTGTTGCATGATTTTCTTGCAAGGTGTCTCCCATAAGCACATACAAGTTTGCCATGATTTTCTCTGCTTTCATGACAACTATGTTTCCCCTCACTACCTTTAAGATTCCTCCTTCAACATGGATCTTGCAGTACGAGGTCATCCAATTGCCCTATAGACAATATATTTTTCTTCAAGTCCTTCACATGTCGTACTTCTTGGATTGTGCGAATAGTACCGTCATACATTTTTAATTTGACAAGTACTCAACTCCAAGCAATCTCCAATGCATGGTCATTTCCCATGAACACGGATCCACCCGAGATAGGCTTGTAGGTTTGAAACCAATCTCGGTGTGGGGTCATATGCCAAGTTGCACCCGAATCCATTATCCACTTGTCATGAAATTCGTTTCCGCCATTAGAGTCGATTCGTCGCTTCGCTACTGCAATTACTCCTTCCTCCGAAGTACTCGCAATGCAACCTTGTGAGGTTGATTCTTCATTCTTCCTCTTCCAACACTCTTTCTTCGTGTGCCCTTTCTTGCCACGAGTAGTAGCATTTAAATTTGAAAGTCTTCTTGTTTCGAGAGCTAGATCTCGCCATGATCTTGACTCCCACTTGAACCACGTTCCGTCGATCTTCCTCTCATCATCGTCAAAACTTCGCTTGTTTAGAACTTTCTACCTTATTCATTCGCCTGGATTCTTCTTCTAGAATAGTTCCGGCAACATCGTCAAAGTGTAGTTGTCCTTCAATATTATTATTTGTAATGTTGATGATGAGTTGATCATACGAGTCCGGCAAGCTCGAAGTAAGAGCTCCGCACGCTCATTCTCAACTATGTTGAAATTTGCTGCCGCTAATTGGGCAAACAAGGTGTTCGGTTGGTTGATGTGGTCCGTCACCGATGTGGACTCACTCATCCGAAGAGTATAGAGTTTCCTCTTCAGGAATATCCTCGTGTGAAGTGACTTCACCTCATATAATTTAATGAGGGCATCCCAAATCTCCTTTGCAAAATCTTTCTCCGCAACACTCGGATAGAACCGAGTCTCGCCATTGCCAAGTGTAAATTTGCAATAGCGTTGCCGTCAATTTTCTTCCAATCTTTATCCGTCATTTCGCAGGTTTTCCCTCAATTGCTTCTGCGCAATTGTCCTTTCTCAAGATTGCCTTCATCTTCAATTTCCACAACGAGAAATTGTTCCCGTTGAACTTCTCTATCTCATACTTTGCCGCCATGGTTGTGTTTCCACTTATGCAACTTTCACTTATGAATAGTATTGTCTACTCGGAACAATAGTAGTAGATCGTGAACCAAGATACCAAGTAGGTTCCCAGGAAAGAGAGGTGGGTCACTAATGGACACGCTTAAGTACTCAAGTCTTTCCTAGCTGTAACTTTCCTCAATAAGTACTTTCACACTACCACACCTTTTCCAAGAATAACTCCTTCTCGATGTGGAAGATCAGATTAAACTGCAACCACAGAGCATACTCAGAATTTTACCAACACTATTCTAGTGACGCGCAACGGAACTCGAACGCAGCTCTGATACCACTGTTAGGATCAGAGTACCAGCATAAATACACACAACTAAAATAGAGACGAGAAAAATAACCCTGACAATAGGCAAAAATGAAAATTTTATAATGACCACTCTTTCCTTTTACAATTGGAAATTACCAATACTAGGAAAGTAAAAGAGAAAGAAGGAGAAATATTTGGGATGTATGAAATAAGGGGGGAGGGGCTCCTTTTATAAGAAGGAGGAGAGCCCCCAATTGAAGTTCCCACGGATGTGGGACTTCTTCCTTCACAGCAACCAACTTGGAAAACTAGGACCTAACTATGTGAGATGCAATTCATTGATATCACCCTCCAAGTAATTCTCCTCTAGGTGAAGAGACTGCAACTCATAAAGCAACCCAATGCTTTTTGGTATTTCTCCGATTAACTGATTATTGGAAAGATGTAAATTCCTCAAAGATGTAAAGACTGAAAGAATTAGGTAGCATGCCGGTAATCCGGTTAGAAGATGAATCTAGAGTTCGGAAGTTGCACCATGAAGAATTTTGAATGAAGCTAGAAAGTTCCCCACTCAAGTTGTTGCTCCCTAGTTATAGCTCTTGCAATGTGTATATATTCCCAAGGAAAGCTGGAATCTCACCTTGAAATTCTTTAAAAGAGGGGTCAAAATGTTCAAGAGAGTTAATTTCTGCAGATGAATTTCTGAGAAACAACAATCGCTGAGAATTATGACTTGTTACGAATGTTGAAAGCAGAGGATGCAAGAAGCATTAAGAAAATGACACACACAATCGCTGAGAGTTATGGTTTGAAATTAACATAAGAAGCAAGATATGTATTTGACGTAAAAAGTATTAGGTGTTTGGGAAAGAGATTGTACCCATCTCATGACCTACATCATCTAATTAAATACCAACCAGAATAGATGATAAACTGAGCATGACCCGCGTCCTCTCGTAGCCACAAGCAGAGATATTTTCATTTTTTTTCAATTCCTTAATTCCTCTCCCTCTTTTTCTAAATAAAACATCGAAGTATACTAAAATAACTGAATAACTAGAACAACAAACATAATCCTAGAATAATATAGTTAAAATATAATTTTAATTAAAGTCATTTATTTTTTTAATTTATAATGGAAGATCGAGTTTTTAAGGTTCAAAAAAAAAACTAAATTATCCTTATTCAAAATTATTTTGACTCAGAACCTAATCATGATCTTTTACATTGATAAGAATAATATGATTTACAAATGATTATTTTGATAAAAAAATCGGTAAATTAAGCTAGTTTCTTATGAATTCTATTAATAATATATTTTTAAAAAAATTATTCAAATATAATCTCTATAATTTATTTACTCATTGTTCTTTTTATATATATTTTTTACTTTTATTCTTTTTTCGTTTACTTCTTATTTATCTCTTTTCTACAGTACTTATCTGGTTTCTCTTTTTCCTCTTCCACTTATTTTCTTAATTAAACTATTATATTAAAATTTAATAAAAATATATTAAAACAAATACTTTAAAATCAACATTAAAATTAAAAAAATATTAAATAATTATTTAACATTATGATTACAATAAATAGTTTTATTATTTATTTTGACAATAAATAAATTTATTTACTATAACATAAATAATTAATTTAAAATTATTTTATCATAATAATTACTCATCTAATTAAAAAATAATAAATATTGATGAGTGAAATATATTTTTTACTTGATAACTTAATATAATTATAATTAAGTTTTGTTATGATAATTATTAATTTTAAAAAATTATTTATTAAAAATTTATTTCAAAATAAATATTTAACTATTTTTATTAATTATAACATAATAATAATATTTATAATATCTCAATTTTTTTTATAATATTTTATATAAAAAAGAAGAAAATAAACACTAAATGAAGACAAAAAATAATTAACAAAAAAATAAATAAAGAAGAAAGAACAGTAAAAAAATAAATGAGAAAGAAAAAATAATTATATTATCTTAAACAATTAATTTTATTTATTAATTTTTTTATAAAAATAAACTTAAAGAGATATTATTTAAATAATTTTTTAAAATTATATTACTTATAAGAATGATTAGTTTTTTTTATTGATAACTTGTTTGAGAAAATTTAAAACATTAGTTTTCCTTTTTGTTTTCGTAATTAAATCTCAATAATTTAAATTATTAAAAAACGATGAAATTGAAAAAATATTAAAATAATATTGAAACATTATCCTACTTAAGGAGCCTCAATTTATAATAGAGAATTTAACGTTTGAGAATGAAAATAAAATAGTGTGTGCCCCACAACATAAAAGTTTTCACTATCAACTTCAGTGAAACGGTTAATACCTGCAGAACTCATATGTCTGCAGTAAGTCTTGGTCAACAAAAGTGACATCAACATCAATGGATCCATTGATTGCTTCAATTTCCAAGTCTTCCAAAATAAGCGTTACAAAATTCAACGTGTCACACACATCAATACATTAATGTTCGTTGTGGAAAAATCACTTTTTTTAAATCGGTTTGTAGTTCGGTTTAACCAGTTGAAATACTAACCACTAAAAAAAGTTGGTTTGTTATTTTTAAATAATTATATTTTAATTAAATTAAAATAAAATTAGAAAAATCAATATAAAATCGGTAAAACTGAAAAATTGATGGAATTTTTAATCTTATTACAAAAACAATATTATGATTAAAAAAAATAATTACGTTCAAAAGCTTCAAGATGACTCACACTAAACATATTACATATAATATCTAATTAATCTATAATTATTCCACCTTGTATAAAATAGGTCGAGTGACACAATTCCTTAGATATATTTTAGAATACAATTCAACATCTTTGTATAATTCAACTCTTATAAAAATTGAATTATAATTCTAATACTTAATAATATATTCAGTCTTTTACTTAAAATAATAAAAACTTCTCACTAAGTTTTGATATTTGTTTGCATCAAATCGGTTATCTCTATCAAACCTAAAAAATTTTATTTCTTTTTCCATGATTGTTAAAATGAGAGTGCAACTCTCATTTTAAACTTAAAATCTCCTCTGTGCATATATTTATTTGGACATAAATATCCCTTATTTGATATTGTTATTTGGACATAAATATCCCTTATCCGATATTGTCTAACTTCCAAACCAAGAAAGATCTTTGTTAGATCCAAGTCTATCATTTCAAACTCTTCTGTTATTGTATTGTTATTGTGCTAGTGAGTTATTGAATATTTCAATATTGTTTTCCATGAAAATGGGATTATCCACACAAAATAGGTTTGTAACATATAATTCTTCGTTTAATCGTTGGAATTGTTAATTAGATATCTATAATTGAAGAAATCAGTTTGTCAATGTGATTATATTTTATTATTTTAATATATTAAGTTATTCGTTTGATTTGATACTCTTATACACATATTTAAGTTTAATTAACAAACTTATGTATATGAATTTTTAGTTCTCATACTAAGAGTTTTTTTATGTATCTTTTATCATTATTGTTATATTTTTTATTATTCTTATTTTGTAGACTTTTAAGTTTAGGAAAATTATTTCTGTTATTTATTTAAATTTTTTTTATTATTGTGTTATTTTTCCATTTACATTGATCGAATGACTAAAACTGAGATCCAAATTTTCCAATTTTTACAAGTCAAGCAATGAAGTGATATTTGATTAGACCAGTCATTGTTGTATTCAATACCTTCCCATTTGCACCAATCACTCATCGTCCCCCCATGTAGACAGCATGCCATAGTAATCTCAGATACTCTGTTCGAAGCTGAGGAGTGCTTTTCTCTCCCGCTCTATGCATCGGACGTGTGAACTGTGTGATGGCGAGTTGAGCCCAAGAATGTAAACTTTGGAATGTACATATATAATTTCTAAGCACTATTCCAAGTCAAGCGAGGAAGAAAGTTTCAATGGTAGAATTTTCTAAATGAAAGGAAAATCGAAGGAAGTGCCAACAAAATGAGACAACAGGAAAATCACCGACATATAATGACTCTCTTTATCATAACTTTTTCTTTACTAAGTGATAGTTTCAAAATGCACACAACAAGTGTTTGTCTTACGCAGGTCGTATCAAATAGAAAGTTTGAAACGTAGAAATATGTAGAGTGATTTTGTTTTCACAACAGTAAAGAAAAAAACCCAATCTATTATAAGTGTTATGTAAATGAAAGAAATTTGAAGGAAACTCCTCAGGCTACAAACTGACATAACATGAACACAGATGAAAATGACAGACTTAATTGCTAACGTCTTTATTCTTTTATTTTGTTTTACGTGGATATAAGAGATAAGAACGTATAGATAGATACTCCAGAATAATAAATATTAGCTGGCAAAAAAATCAATTACAATTGAACTTTAACGAATATTATACTTCAACTGATTTATTAATTTTTTATTACACTTTAATTTATAAATTGAGGTTAAAAGTCATGTTTTAAATTTATAAGTTGTCATTATGTATTGATTATAAATCATATGATATGTATATTAAAATCCTCATTTATTCATTAACCATTTTACGACTTGGTGAATAAAAAGTGATTATGTTATTTCGTTTTAAAAATTTAGAAATTTGATTGAATATTTTAGCAGTTCTAGGATTAAATTGAATTAAGTTAAATAAATAAATAAAATAAAATAATAGGTCTACAAAAATATAATGAAATCATCATTTTTATATAATTAGAAAAACTCGGTTATTATAATATTTAACACAATAAAAAGTAAATATCAAAATGTTAAGGATAAAATTGTAATAAAATATATAAAATTCAAATAATAAAAAAATTAAAAACATTAAACATAGAATAGTAAAGAAATATGTAAAAAAAATTACTAAAAGAAATCTCTTTTATTAATTTTTGTAAAGAGTTATCATTGAAATAGATTGTAATATACATATATATATATATATATATATACATATATATATATATATATACATATATATATATACATATATATATATATATATATATATATATATATATAATCAGGATGATTTAGACTATAAAATTCAGTTAAATTAATTTTAATAATTTCTTATAAAATATAAATTTAATTTAATGGTTGAAAATAATTGTATTTTCTGAATAAACACAGTCTATCAAATTATATATATAATAGATCGACCTGATTATGAGAGAAATATCACAAAATGAAATTGAATAAAATTATTTTGTATTAAACTTTGATAAATCTTGGTTATATTTGCTAAACTAAGTGCAAAATTAGTTTTTAAGTTAAAAATTGAAAAACGGGTTGATCGTTAAAAGTTGTTAAAAATTTGAAGGTAAATGATATTCTATAAAATTACTGATATGATAAAAAAATTTGATGGATAATATAAGATAAAATTTTAATTATGACAATATATTAAAAGGTGTTGACGTAATGAGAAAAAAAAAGTTACAATGAATTGTAATATAAAAACATCAAATTAATATATATGTTTCTTGCAATAGAGATTTTGCATCACGTTGTAAACCTCAATACTGCATATCCTACGTCCTGCAGGTCACCCCAGATTGCAATTTTGAAGCTAATCCTCGATAAACTGAAAATTTTGTGCTATAATTTAGATACATATTTTAGCTGCGATGGATAAAAATCTGGGACTGAATTTTGTGATAAATGATATAAACTGTAAAAAGTAATGCAAATTTCTAAAAAAAGTCCATTTTTAGGTCACGTAAAAAGTTTATTTTGCAATGGAGCATGAAAGTAGTCTCTAAAATTAGTATTCTCTAAATTAGTAAAAGAATCTAGAAAAATAGACTAAAATGTAACTAATGAAGAATCACGTCTAAAGTCTTAGAAAGTTTTGGAAAAGGATTACTCATACCTTAAGATAGATAATGATTCTCTCACTTGTAACTCAAACACTTCCACACTTAACTCCTATCTTCTCTCATTCAAATATTTTTCATCTTTTTCTAAAAATTATTTTCTACAATTTGTAGTACCTACATCACTTCTAAACAACAAATCATTTTCCCTACCTCTTCCTAAAATACTAATAGCGGTAACAGAGTTTCATTTAATCATCTATTGGACATAATAAATACAATACCCAACTATTTTCTAAAATCCTACTACATCACATACCAATCTTATTCGCTAATGTCAATCCTTCTATATTTATTTTTGTACTCTTTTCATGAAAGAAAATTATGATTTAGGGAGCATTAAAATGAAAATATTTTTTTCTCTCAAGATCTAAGAAAGACCGTAGAAGATTATTGCATTGTTCCTATGGACATTTCCACACTTATAACTGCTCAAAAGAAGGAGTTGAAAGAGAACCCAAGGGCATTATATTTCTTACAACAAGTTGTAGTTGATGCATTTTTTCTAAGGATAATGGATGTCACAAGTGATAAAAAAGCATGAAACACAATACAATAAGGGTTTCAAGGAAGTGTAAAGGTATATACTATTAAACTTCAAACTTTAAGATGTGAGTTCAAGTTATTGAATATGAAAGAGAATGAAATCGTTAAGGATTATTATACTAGAATAAAAGAGATAGTAAAATGACAGCATGTGGAAAAAATATTCTTGACAAAAAAATTGTTAAGAAAATTATAATTTATATTCTCCATAAATATGACGTAATAATGATTACAATTAAACAAATTAAGGATGTATTTACCTTATCGATGACAATTAATAGGTTCATATGAGTAAAGATTGAGAAGGTATAATGATGACTCTGTCGAAAATTCCTTTCAATCAAAACTTAAAATGAAGATATTTCTAAAAATAAAGAAAATTTTAAAAGTTTCTCTAAGCCCAATCAAGACAAATATCATCATTGTGACATCTGCAAAAAGTCAAGTCATCATTGAGATTGTTAGCATCATGAAAATCATAGTGTCAACACTGCAAAAGGTTTGGACATGTGAAGAAGAATTGTCGCAACAACAACAAACATCAAGCAAATTTCATTGAAGAGCATGACCTTCAGCAACATTTGTTTTATGCTACCCGAGACTTCAATGATGAAACAAGTGAAAGTTGGTACATGGATAGTGGACGCAGTACTCACATGGTCAAAGACGAAAACATCTTCAATGGTATTGACGACTTTATCAAAATGAAAATACGATTGGGGAATGACATCTTGGTGGAGTTAAAAGAAAGTGACATTATTGTGGTGAAGATAAAGAAAAGTACAAGATTTATTAAAGATGTTTTACACGTTCCTACTCCTAAAAAAAAAATTCTTAAGCATTGGTCAAATGATGAAGAAAGACTATGTTTTTCACTTTAAATGAGATAAATGTAAAATCTACAATAATAAAAGACGAGAGTTATGAGACGTAAAAAGAGAGAAAAGAAACAAAAATTTTCCCATAATTTTTAAATATACTACTGATTTTCCTATAAGCCCTAAATCTATTATATCAAAAGAATATGATGAGAGGTCTCTCATACCTGAAAAAGAATAATGAAACCTATGAATGTTGTCTTCTCGAAAAGCAACACAAATTATCATTTTCAATCAACAAAGCATGGAGAGTAAAAGATTTGTTGGAGTTAATCCACACAAACATATGTGGACCGATGAAGACACCATCTCTAAACGATAATAGGTACTTCATCCTTTTCATCAATAACTTCTCTAGAATGACATGTGTTTATTTCATTAAAGAAAAATCAAAATTTTTTGGAATATTCAAGAAGTTTAATGCTCTCGTTGATAAACAAAGTGAAAGACATATAAAATTCTAAGAAGTGATCAAGGCAAAGAATATAACTCACATGAGTTTGATAAATTTTATGAAGATGAAAGGATAGAAAGATAAATTACAGTTGCATATACACCACAGCAGTATGGTGTATAAAAAAGGAGGAATCACACACTGATGGAAATGACAAGATCAATATTGAAGGAGAAAGACTTGTCAAATACTTTTTAGGTAGAAATAGTTTACACTATTGCTTATATACTTAATAGATGTTCAACTAAGACAATATAAGACAAGACTCCAATTGAAGCTTAAAGTGGACAAAAGTCAATGGCCAAACATTTAAGGGTTTTTGAGTCTATCTGCTACATACATGTATCAAATCAGGAAAGACACAAATTAGAAGATAAGACTATAAAAGAGATCTTCTTGAGATATAACACACAATCAAAATGTTATAGAGTCTACAACTTACAAACAAAGAAGCTCACGATTAGCAGAGACGTTAAAGATAATGAAAGTGTTTATTAGCAGTGACGGATCTTAGTCATTGATCTTAAGGAGATCAAATAATATATTATTAATAAATAATAAATGAATATAAAAAAGAATATGAAAGAGTGAGAGGTCAAATTTGTAAATATACAAGCAAGTATATTTAATAATCATTAAATTTGGAGCAAAAATCATAAATGTTAATATAGGTTACAAAACTTTGGGGGGTACCATGAATTATGAGAAACAACATCTTCCTTCCAATACAACAATCTCAAGAAGAAGTTCAATAAGTGACAGAAGATCCAAATACACTTTCTTCATGTGTACAACAAGAAGATTTTTCACTAGAATCTACTCTTAGGTGAGTAAGATTTTTGGTCGATATATATAAGACATGTAACATGACAATGCTTCTTGAATGATATGACGAGGTTACAAAGCAAGAAGTTTGGATCAAGACAATGGAAGAAGAAATTAAAATGATCGAAAAAAATAATACTTGGTAATTAGTAAATTGCCCACATGAAAAAGATGTCATTAGAGTAAAATGTATTTATAAAATAAAGTTGAATCCTGACAACACCATACAAAAGCAGAAGGTTACACAAGTAGCAAAGGACTATTTACAATAACCTAAAGTCAATTACAATGAGATATTTGCTCTAGTTGTTCACCTATATCCAATTAGAGCTTTAATAGCTCTTGTTGCACAAAAAAGGATGGAGTATTCATCAGTTAGATGTTAAATCAACCTTTCTAAATGGAGTACTTAAATAAGAGATTTGTGCGAAGTACCACAAGGCTTTATAAGCAAAGAAAATGAAGTCAAAGTGTTAAGGTTAAGAAAAAAACTATATACGGCTTTAAGCAAGCTCCTCAAGTATGGTATAGCAAACTTCACCAATCAAGAATTCACGAGGAGCAAAAGTGAAGCAAAACTATACATTAAGACTCAAGGTCAGTGTGATACTCTTATAGTCTCTCTATATGTATATAATCTTATCTATACAGGGAACAATATAAAGATGATATGAAAATTCAAAGAAGACATGATGAAAACATTTTAGGTGAATGACCTTAACTTGATGAATTATTTTGGCATAGAGGTAAAAAAAAAAAAAGAATATTTATCTCTCAAAAGAAATACATTGAGGCTTTATTTAAGAAGTTCAAGATGTATTGTGGCTACTCCACTCATGACAAATGAGAAACTACGAAAAGAAGTTGGAGCACCAAAAATTGACGCATCACGCTACAGAAGTTTGATTAGTAGCCTATTGTATTTTACAACTACACTGTCAAATCTCATGTATGCTAAAAACCTTTTATAAAGGTTCATGCAAAGACCAAGCCAAATTCACTTTGAAACAACCAAAAGGATTTTAAGATATCTATAAGGCGCAAAAGACTTTGATATATGATACAAAACCATGATCGACTTAAAGTTGATTGGGTACACTGACAGTGATTGAACATGATCAATAGATGACACAAAAAGTATGTCAATTTATACCTTCTCACATGAATTAGGATTTTTCTCCTGGGCATCTTTAAAGAAAGCAACAATGAGACAATCAACAATAAAGACAAAGTATGTGGCAGCAGCAGAAACTACAAGTCAAGCAATATGACTCCAAAGAATACTTGAAAAAATGGGAGAAAAATAGCATGGATATACTATTATCTACTGCGACAACAAGTCAATAATAGTAATGTCAAAGAATTCAGTCCATCATCAAAGAACAAAACACATAGCTATCAAACATCACTTCATCAGAGAAGCTGAAGAAACTGAACTAATTACTTGAATATTGTTCCACAAAAGATTATATTGTAAATATATTTACCAAGACACTACCAATAGTCAAGTCTAAACAATTACAATTCTTGCTCGGAGTTATCAAAATTTGCATCAAGGAGAAATAAAAAAGTGATGCAAATTTATATAAAGACCAAGAAAATTAAGTTCTAAAAATTACCTTAAGTTCTAGAAACTACTAGAACTATAAACCTCATGTAAGTAGTCTCTAGAATTACTAGAAGAATCTAAAAAAATAAGTTAGTGTAATATAGGGAGGTACTTTCACACTCAATTACTATCTTCTTTCATTCAAACTTTCTCATACTTGTCCACCTTTTTCTAAAAGTTATTTTTATACCATCTACATTTTTGTTTAGGAAAGACGTTCTCCCTTTCCATGTCAAAAGAACTCTTTTTAACAAAAATAGCATAAATAAATACAAAAAAGTTCAAACAAAGAAGTTATTGGAATAACGTACCTGCTATCCTTTGAGCCACCTGTTGAACTTGACTACCTTCAATTCAACCATTACAAGAATATAGTCTGTGAGTCTGTTCAAGAATCTGATGTAAGCAATTCTCCATGATAGGAAAAGTAGTATTGACCCTAACAAGCCCCAAAAGCCTGTGAAGAATCCTAGCCCCAAACTAATGTATAATGCTCCATACAAAATTGAACTGCCATCTTCACCATCCACTGCTGTTCCTTGAGGCATTGCAATTGTCTTGTCTCCAGGACAACTTTTGTTTAGTTGCTCACCACAAAGACCAAGATTTCCTCCAAAACTAGAGGCATCAAAGGTTTGCAACTGTCTTCCCCAAGGGATTCTTCCATTCAGATCATTGTTTGATAAGTTCAACACAGCAAGACGATCAATTTTTGAGAGAGTAGAAGGAATTTTTCCAGAGAAATGATTTCTTGATAAGTCAAGAAATTCCAACAAATTTAAATTCCCAATCTCTGAAAGAATTTCTCCATCTAAGTTGTTTCTTGATAAATTCAAAGAAACTAATCCAAGTAAATATCCAATCTCTTTTGGTATTGCACCAGTCAAATTATTACTTGATAGATCAATGCTCTTTAGAAGATACTCGGGATTAAAAAACACGCGCTCCTGACCTTTCCACATCAATAACACGTTAGAGTCATAAGATCCTCCTATAATTTCATCTCTGTTTACTACTGTTCTATCCATCATTGCAGTAAAATTACTTAAGCATGTTGGAATTCCTTTTGACAAGTTGTTCCTTGAAAGATCCAAGACAAGAATTTGCCTCAAATGACAGAGATGTACTGGAAAACTTCCAAAGAAACGATTTGTTCGCAAGCTCAAGATTTTCAGTTGTTGTAGACTATCTCCAATCCATGAAGGTATTAGACCAGGAAACAAATTTTCACTCAAGTCTAGTGTTTCTAAATGAGTGCAGTTTTTTAATGTGTGTGGTAGCTCTCCAGTTAAACTGTTGTTCCGTAACAACAAAGCTCCCAAATTAGCAAGATAACCCATGGACTTCGGAATCTTCCCTGAAAAATTATTATTGCTTAGATCAAGAAATTCTAGTGAACTAGCTAGATTTTCCCAACAATCGGGCAGTTGTCCCTTTATTTGATTATTTGATAAATCAAGTATGCCGATGTTTGTATTTTCTTCTTTTCCACATATAAATGCATCCAAATCTGAAATCATATTTTTAGAAAGATCCAAGGTGCTAACTTGTGACAAAAAGGTAGGAACTCCACCTTCAAGTTTATTTGAATTTAGTATTACTGCATGACCATTATTGGTAATCTTGATGGGTAAATTTGGAATTGAACCTTTGAGATTGTTGTAAGAAATATTCATCTCACTTATAGACTGTAACTTGTTCCAAAACCAATCTGGTACAAAGTCATCAATCTCAGCATCAGAAATATCTAGAAAGCTTAAGCGACTTTGAGTCTGGATCCAACTGGGGAAACTAGGACCCAACTTGCAAGAGGCTAGTCCCATATGAAATAACTGGAAAGGTGGAATCCAGGTAGTTGCGAACTTTAGAGACAATGAGTTGTGTGTTAAGTCTAAATCCATCAATTTGGACAAATTTGTGAAATGCAATTCATATATATCACCCTCCAGATTATTCTCCTGTAGGTGAAGACCTTCCAACTCCCATAGCAACCCAATGTTTTTTGGTAATTCTCCCGTTAACATATTATTGGAAAGATCTAATATCCTCAAAGATGACAAAATGGAAGAGTTTCCAATGAAGCTAGCAATTTTGCCACTCAAGTTGTTATTGCTAAGGTGTAGTTCCTGTAGTGTGCATATATTTCCAAGGGAAGCAGGAATCTGACCATGCAGTTTGTTGGAGGAAAGGGCAAGAACTTCAAGAGAGTTCATTACTTTCCCTAATCCAGCTGGAATGGGACCTTCTAACATGTTATCGCCAAGGGAAAGTGTATGAAGATTGGGGGTGAAGTTGGAAATCAAATGAAATATAGCCGATGATTTCAATAGATTAGAGGAGAGATCAAGGGTGACAAGAGAAGATGAAGACTTGCGTATGGAAGCAGATGGAACAAGAAAATTTTTATCAGTAAGACTGCACTCTTCTAGATGAAGTTCTTGTAGTGTGGAGCTGAAATTGAAATTTCCTAGAATTGTTGATGATGTGAGGTTATTAAGAGCAAGATCAAGGACCACAAGTGAATGAAAGTGTGGATAGTGTGGAGACGACAAAACAATATTATTACCACGCAGATAAAGCTCTTGGAGGTTATGGCTGTGGTTGAACAACAATTGAAATGTTGATGCTGTCAACATATTATCAGAGAGATCAAGGATGGAAAGAGAAGTGGAAAGGTTAGAATGAGAAGGAAACAAAGATGAAACATCCTTATCTGAAAGACTACAACGCACTAGACTCAACTCTCTTAAGTTTGAAACAAGCTCACTAATCACTTGTAGCCAGTGACGAGAGTAAGCAAGATTAAGCAATGAATCGAGACCAAAAGTTGTTAATAAAGAGAGAGAAGATAGCCACTTTGCATCACTAACTGTAAGATCAAAACTTCCACCAAGTCTAAGAGTATGCAAGAGAGGAAGATTACCAACCCGGAAAGGGATTGCTCCAGAAAGTAATGTAAACCCAAGATCAAGATACTTCAACTGTGGGAGATTTCCAAGTTGATTAGGAATTTCTCCTTGGAGATAATAATTGTCACTTAGATCAAGATATCGTAAACTTGTAAGGTTTCCAAGTTGAGAAGGGATTGTACCATTGAGAGAATTTCCTTTAAGATCAAGATACTCCAACTTTGAGAGATTTCCCAGTTCATAGGGAATCCCCCCGTAAAAATTTACTTGTGATAGATTGAGATATCTTAAGCTTTTGATGTAGCCCAAGTGTTGAGGAAGATGACTCCAACTATAATCATAATTATTGCTAAGATCCAAATATTCCATGTTTTCTAAGTCAATCAATGGAGTAAGATTGATTGAACCTGTCAAAAAATGCATTTTGGAACCACGAAGATCAAGTATTCGTACGTCACCTGTTTCATTGTTGCATTGAATGCCTCTCCATTTGCAGCAATCTCTGTTACTGCCATCATCCCTCCATGTGGACAGCATGCCAGAGTGATCTATGAGGCCTTGTTTGAAGTTGAGGAGTGCCTCTCTCTCCCTCTCTATGCATGATGATGAGATGAATGCATGAATGGGTACATGCGTATGCAAAAAGAACACTAATATTGCAAACAAGATTTTGAGAAAATAAGAAGCCATTGCAATTTTCTAGATATGAAATTTCTGCTATGCTCTGAACTTTGAAAAATAGTAAAAGAACAAAAGCACTGCAGATTATGATTTGCGAGTTGTTGACAACCCAGCAAAGGGTATAAGCCCTCCGTCTTTGTTGACTACTCTAAATCAAACAAGTAAGGAAGTTTCAAAGAAACTCTTCAAGTCAAACCACCAAGGAAAATAATGGGAATGTAGCTGAAAATGATAACCACTATTATTTTTGCTTTCAACCAACGTGAGAAGTAATAAGAAATCAATCTAGGGATAACGTGAGTAAACTCTATTTATTTCTCTGCTAGCAAAACCCTACTTTAAAAAAAATTGATACAGTGAAAGACTGTAGATCAGAGTGAACAATTACTTTTCAACACTTCCGCGATTAAACTCATACGCGGACGGATCCGTCCCCTCCGAGTTTTCCAATGAAAAATCAAGTTAACGGGGAAAGGTGGGACTGGTTAGGTTTTTCCCAAACCGTATCCCAATCTACTATTTATATTTAAACTTTAATATTTTTAAAATATTTTATTTTCTTTTTGTAAATTATATATAAACTCATTTTTTTATTCTTCATATTTTTTCATTTTTCTTTAGTTCACTTTTCACTTCCATTCTTTTTCAACTTCTTACATTAATCAGATCAATTTATTATTTTCTTTCTTTTTTTTTTTAATTGGTTTCATCTTATTTTCTTAATTTTTTAATTATTTTGATTTTTTCTAATATTTTTAATAAATTTAAAAATATAAAGTCAATTTTTTTCTTTATTTTTTTAATATTTTACTTCAATTTTAAAAGTAATTAATATTATTTTATTTTTAATTTATTTTTATTAATCTTTACTATATTATATTTTCTTAAATTTTTTAAAATTTTATTATTTCTATTTATTATATATCAATCGTTTTAAAAGAATGATTATATCTTAAAAAATTATATATTTTTTTATAAATTATATATTTCATGTTTATAAATATTTTAAAATAATAATTTAAAAAATCATTAATTTATATAATTAAATATTTAAATAATAATAATAATAAGTATTTTATATTGGTATAAAAAAAGTAAACATTTCTGTTAAACATTTCATTTAAATACATATTTTAATATAAATATAATCAATTAAAATATATACTTAATTAAAAATAATAATTATTTATTTTTCATAAATAATATATTAAAAACTATTAAAATTAATTTAATATAAATATAATTATTTTTTAAAGATAAAAAATCAGGAGTGATGAAACTTAAAATCTAATAGAAATAAAAATAAAAATTAATTTCTACTACCGACAAAAATTAAAATGAAAATGAAAACAATTTAAAAAAAAGTTGAATATTGGGATTGGGAGGAAAACCTGCTCAACCCGCCCCTACCCACCTAGGGCCACTACTTCAGAAATAGACAACACACAGTCTTGATTGGACAAAACAACACGATAATAGCACTCCTGGAAGAAGTGTCTAGAAAATTAAATTGTTTAATAGATTTAAACAAAAACACAAACAAGTCTAATGAGATAGATGATCTCATTAGCCAAGTTTCTAAATTGTCTTTAGTAACCAATACATACACAAACAATTTCTAAAAATACACAGAAATTTGTTAAAGTGTCTACAAATGGTCTTAAAAATCAGACCAACAAAGGAGAAGTTTCTTCTTCTACAAACAAAATTGTGAGTTAATTATGTTTGCACGACCTATTAACTCCACACAAACACAATTAGAAACTGTTGATATGAATAATACAACAGATTCTAATCAAACACAAAGATTTCCTGGAGTCCCAGAAGATTGAGGGAACATCAAACCAAGAGTCAAAACCTGATACAACATCCAGGAATCTTAGATAGATTCCTAAATAGACAAAGATCTACTAATGTCAGACGTTTGGAAGACTTAGTAGATATACAACAAAATACTGAGATAGGATCAAATACAAATATAGATTCCTTGAATCCTAGGCAGTTATACAATATCGGTTGGTTAAGCTCAGAAAGGACTAGCCTTTACCGATATAGAAGAATAGAAGATTTTCATCTTCTAGACAACACTTATGAGATAATTCCTCTGATATCTCAACAAACTGGTAGGCAACTACTAGGCCAACAAGGAAGATATGTCCATATGGGATTGATTACCATTGGAGTTAGATCCTTGGCTAGACATTTGATTGGAGCTAGAGCTTTGATAGTTCTACATGACTTCAGATTTCAAAACAATGATTCACAAAGTGTGATAGGTATTTTAGAGGTAGATTTAAATCAACCTTTTTCGTTACACTTCTAGATTTTGTTAACCAAATAAGTCTAGAAGTACAAACAGTAGGATTTGGACCCAATTGGGTGGGGTGAAAATCTACACTTAGATATCACCTTCATTGGAAGAATTAGCAACCACATTTCTTCCATGTACAGGATTGATACAAGACCATTAGAGGAAGCTATCAGCTCTCATGGTACACAATTTTTGCCAGCTCAAGCCTTCACAAGAAGAAATGAAGGACACTTGTGGTAAACACACTTATCCAGGGAAGAAGATACTCCCGTTACTGCCCCTTCATCTGTTATTTTGCATAACAGATCTAGAGGACTTAGTCTAAGTTTCACAGACTATAGAAATATTTCACGACTAGACCTAGAACAAGATAGGCCAGTGGAAAATAGGCATAGAACTTCTGCTATTCCTGACATTGAAAACATTTCTATGATGAATATTGTAGAATGTGAAGAAGATGAAGATGAAGATGATGACATAACTGATGAGGAATGAAATCATCATCAGGCTATCATAGTCATGTTCAGACAAAGAACTTCAAATTCTTTGTCTAATAAAAATGTCCAAATTAATGAAGAAGATAGTTTCATTAATATGGAAGAAATTATAAATGCATTTTTAGATGAATTTTATCCAAATGAAGAAGATACATCGGATAGTTTATCTAAAGTCTCATAACGTTTGTTAAGGTTAGTAGACATGAATGAAGAAAAAGATACACTAGATAATGTATCTTTAGTTTCAGAACCTTTGGTTGGGTTCGTTAATACAAATAATGAACCAACAGATATTCTGGATAATGTATCTTTAGGTTTAGAACCCTTGTCTTGGATAGACAACACAAAAAGTGATATATTAGATAATGTATCTGAAATCTGAGAATCCTTATCTATATTAGGGTTAGTCAACACAAATGTTGAATCAAAAGATTTCCAACCTCATAGTTTCCAGTTGGAATCAGATGGTATACATAGTTACTCTATTGGTTTTCCACCTAGAGTATCACCACAAAATGTTGTCTTTAGCGACAACCAATACACAACATTAGGCAAAAGGCTTCCGATAGAGCCTAACTTCCAGATGCCTAATCTTCTTTTAAACATAGGAGGGATAGATCCTCAACTATTGCCAACATACATTGAGTAATGGACTGCAGCTGTAATCCGTGATTATGGCATACATCATGAGAAAGATGTTCACTCTTCTCAAGAAATGATTGCTAAAGCTAAAACCTATTTAGGTGATATAGCTAGAGCTTGCTGGGAATCTTTTAAGAAAAATTACCCAGCTGACTTAAATATGTTTGTGATCGAACCAGGTCCTAACATATACAATTTTTGTTCTTTGTTACAAAAATTGCTTACTTCCTAGTCTGCTAATTATGGGAACACACTCAGACAACATATTTATCTGGGTCATTTGGAAAGACTTTCTATAACATACTTTGGAAAGATAAAAGAATTTTTACAAGATTATCTTATGTACGCATCTATAGGTGGATGTTTCCATGATTTAAGCATTGGAGAAAAGATGTTTCTCAAACTACCAGGAAAACTTGGCCAAAAGATCCGAGGATCCTGAAAAAATGATGAGGTTACTCCCATGTTGAACAACCTCTCTATACGTATACAACACATCATGAAATTGATGGAATATACGTATACACATATTGCTATACAAAAGCAATTGAAAAATTCCGATGTTGGAATTTGCAAACAAATTTATACTCCTCAGCAGTATAATCAAAACAAGTCTTACAGAAGGCATATACCTAGAAGTAAACCTAGGTATAATAAAAACTACAATCAGAATTCTTATTCTGAAAGACAAAAACCCACAACTTCTAGAAAGACTTATACGATTAGGTTTTCAAATTCTAGAAAACCAACTCTAAATCCTGATAGACACGTTAGGAAATTTAGAGACAACAAAACATATAAGCAAACTTTGAAATGTTTCGCTTGTAATTAACCAAGACATTTCTCTAGAGATTGTCCTAATATTGCAAATCTTTACACAAAAGAGACAGAACTGATAAAATCCTGCCACATGAACCTTCTTCCAATTGATGAAGATGTTTCTACTGATTCTGAAATACTATCATTTATTAGTATTACAGAATACATTGATGAAATCAATCCAGACAAAAGCTATAAAGATTATGGTCTGATAAATGATTTCACAAACAATGAATTCATACATCTTTATCCACAAGAAAATGATTTTCAACTGGATAATAAATACAATGAATTAGGCAATATACTCGATGATTTTGGATATTGTCTAATGAGTATTACAGTTTCTTCTTTTGATAAGAAAACTAACAAAAGGGTATTGCAGGGTTCCTTCAGTTATACAGGTACAAATATGGCAAATCCAATCAACAAAGGCAAGTTACCAGCCTCAACAACTGAAGAGTTTGATACTCTAAAGTTTGGAACACAGCATCTTCCGGTTGTACTAGAAGGTCATCCTCAACAATTCAAATGTGTGAGGAACTGTCCTGTTTCAAGGGAACAAAAGGTACTACTTAACGCTCTTCATC